CTTTTTCTCAGCCACCTACTCAAAGACAAAATAACCCTGCCCTGGGGGTCTCTGTGTGTGGGCCCACTGGAATCACTGGCAAGGCCAGCAGCATGATTATCTACAATAAACCACCACAGGTGTAGGAGGGCTCCGACAAGCCCTCTGTTGTACTCACAATCTTCAGTCCTGACTGCGGCGCGCCTGAAGAAGGAGTGAGGAGCTGCTTAGCTATGGCTTCCCTCTGGGTCAGGCTGCTGGCACTCAACACGGTACGTGATCCATCTTCATTAATGACCATGGAGGCCCCAGGGTGAACCTTTGGGCCATTTATGACAGCCTGCCGCAGCTCTTTCACGTTCCAGGGAGTGACTGGCTGAGGGTAAGTCAGTTTGGTAGCAAACACCTAGACAGGAGGGAAAAGAGGTGAGAAACAACCAATTTTGTGAAACAGTAAATTGGCTTAAAACAAGAAATTGGTTTAGAACAGCACTAAGTCACTGAGGATACTGTGTCAAATATTAACTCACACAATGTAAACATAAATGACTTTAAGCTCTTGAATGCATCTCCTCCTCAATCTACTGCCACACCAAATAAATACATTTCTGTTTTAAAATCCTCTAATCCATAAGAACAGAAACTATGTCCTTTTTACGATTTTTCTATTGCAGTAGAAAAGGAAAATTCAATTAGCAATTAAAAAAAAAACAAAGTATGGTTTTAGATTCTGCAAACAAACTGACAAATACAGAGAAGTGCATTATCACCAGGTCCACAATTTGCAGACAGGCAAAGAGAAAAGATGATATAATGAAGAGCTTGAACTCAGGCTTGGTGTCATCTCTGTGTGGTTAAAAATCACGAAGGATGAATGAAGCTGGTGATGTTATTAGGGCCTCTGCTTAAAGGCTGCCATAGCTGTTCCAAATACATTGTACAAAGACCACAAGAGAAACAGGATCTACTTATGAAGTTTGCACCAATTCATAATCCCAGGAAGCAAGTACAGCTTTTTCTTTGTTTTAATCCTCTTTCTCAGATGCGGTGTTCAGCAGAAGAGTACGAATTTCCTGCTCTTCAATGCTCCTTCTTTATTAACAGCCAGTAGCAACACACAGCTATGACACACAGGGGAGGAAAGACCTCAAAGGAGTCAGAAAATCTCTACATTTTAAACTGCTTGCTATGTAGCTGGAAGCGTTACAGTGTAGTTCAGTCCCCAGCCTCACCAAAAGGAAACACTCCTTTTTTCTGTTCTTACCATAGGAATGCCTATTTCATTGGTACCAATGTACATATCGGGGCAAATGACGGATCGAGCAGCAAAATCCACGCGCTTTCCCATCATGTGCTTGCGGAACAGTCCCTCCTTCTTCTCTAACAGCTTTGAAAACAGAAGTTAAGGTAATGATTAAAACATCAGACAGATTCTCCAGATATTATAGTGATGAGTATCGTGAAAATGCCTACATACTAACCACAAGCATTTCACTTTTTTCTTATTCCATCAACTTCTCTTGTTTTAACTGTCTGTGACACACAAAGTCCAGACTCTTAAGATTCTTCCTGCTACCCACCTGACGAATACCAGGGTATTTTTCTGTCATCAGTTTGTCCATGTCACTATCAAACACAATGTTGACATGGCTCTGAAGACGAATCCAAGCGTTGTGCAGCTTATCTGCAAGGGTCTGTCCTGGAATCATTGTCAGGACAGAACGGTCCAGAGGTTCATCAGTCTCTCCTGTCTCCTACAGAAACAGAAATTAGAAACTTAGACTTGACAAAAAAAAACCACTTACATTTACTAGGCTGAAATAGTATTAAATACAAAATGAATTATCGGCCACTATTTGGCACCTCATTAAAGACACTAATTTGTTGTGTTACTTTAAGGGATATAAACTTATTTCAAATTATTACAACCCAGTGCCTCAGGCAGATCTGCTGTCCAAGAAGCTGACTTGGATGGGAGATGTCCCAACACCACAGCTACATACACCAGTGGGATTTTAAAAGACGATTGTTAATCAATCATGTCTTGGTGACAGTCCTCTTTCCAAATCAGATGTTACTGGTTAGTCAGTCTGTGCCACAAATCACTGTGTTACCAGAAAGTCCTATTCTTAGATAAAAATAATGTAAATTCAAGAGCTTTTATCATTTACATCACTGTTTTAACAGTCTAAAAGTCGGTATCTCAGTCACATCCGAAACACATTAACCTTCTGTCACGTTGAACGTTTTAAGAACGTATCTCCACCTAGTGGCTAAATTCTGAGTAACTAAAAATGTTTCCAAACTGCATTTCATTTAACATGTAAATCAAGTTCAGCTGAAACTAAATCCAGCATCAAAGAACCCTCAATAATACAATAGTTATAACTGTATTATAATTAAATATAATAATAAAACAAATATGAAAAGAGGCACGGTGACATGCGTTATTATTTACCATTATATGACCATGTGAACTGGTCAGCAGCAAACAAGCATTGTTACTAGTTAATGTTATTTGTGACTCTTTTGGTTCTATTTAGACATCAGTGGTCAAAAATAACCACGATCACCACTGCCTCTACTAGGCTGAGAAGATTAAGTGGCTTTTTTCCCCCCATCACTCTCCAGTAACAGGAGCCCATGATGTCGCCCATACAGTAATGTAATACAAAAACCACGACTAAAGGAGTCTGCATAAAATGGTCTTCCCTTTGCACCAGGTGAGTGAGTGGAAAGAGGTATGAGGGAAAAAAAAAAGCTAGGGAGAACTTCTCCAAGGGCACATACTCCCACAGCCCAGGCTAAAACTGTTATGGCAGCAGTTTAAACAGGAGTCTACCTGAACTCGAGCCACATATCCAAAATGCAAAGAATAAGATAATTGGCAACTCTTACTGTTTGGATTTCCTCTTCTGGAATTTTTATTGGCTGACATTGTTCTTTTGCCATGAAAACCAAGAGCTTCCGTATCATTTTGGCATCCTTCATGACAGCCTGCAAGTTCACAGTCTGACCATTTGTGAACAGTCGGTCTCCAACACGATTTATGGGACGATATCTACAGCACATCAAAATTATTTTAGAAGAACAAAGCCACCAAAAAGTAGCATGATAAATCTCAAACACTCTGAGCTAATTCTTCAATGCATGAAACATAATCCCTACAAAGTAACGGTGAGCATTTACAAATTCATATCTTATACTGGGACGGTCATAGAACAGGAATGATTCCTTGGCAAGAAATTCTACCAGCACTATACAGTTATAATATTCAATAATAATTTAAAATACTAATACTAAAATACATTTTTTCATAATGAGTATTTCAGTCCTTTAACAAACTCATTGGAAGTTATAATAAAACCTACCATGAGCTACTACTGTGATTTTTTTTATTTTTTTTTAATTTTTTTTAACATTCCACTGACACTTCAGCAGAGCAGTGTCTGTACTACAGGTGTTTGCATCTCTGACTCCTGCAAAAAGGATGTGCTAAACCCCGTGACTTCTACAAAAGTTTTTTGGGGGAAATTTTACCTTGAAGGCGGAACCACAAGTAGATCTAAAAAAAACATGTCTGGACTGAATCCCGAACCCTCATGGGGATCCATCCCGGGGAAGAGAGAACGCAAAAAGAAACCTAGAAAGATACAACAGAAAAGACAGACTCATTGTCACTGCTATAGCTTGGGAATCCAAAGCCCCAGGTTTGGGCAATCAAGTCAAAAGAATCTGCTAAGTTAAATACTAGCAAGCTCGTTTAAAAGAAAAACATTTCGGCATACGTTAGAAAGAATCACCGTTGCTCTTTTCAGTCACATATGTGATTTGTTAGGAACAACTCTGAACAGGAATACAGAGTATAGCAGAAGAAATAAAGCAGAACAGCAGGAAGAAGGAGTTTCCAGCTACTGGCTGTGACTGCTATATGAAACTGCTCTGGTTTTTCCTGGCAACTGCAGACAGATTCAGAGTACAGGGAACTCAAAAGAAGACACCACTAAATACATTCTCAGCCTTTAACCAACGTAACCGTGGGGAATATTAGGTGCAGCACCACAGCAACATCCAGTTCTCAGTAAACAACATTTGTGATTTGGGGGGAGCCACAATTTGAGAATAGCTGATCAAACCATTCACTGGATCCAGCTCTCTGCATTCACCAGCTACCAGTCCTCCTGTCACAAAACCTATGTTGCAGCCAGGAGCCCTTAAGGTGAAAGGCAAAGATTTGACAGTTTGGTCATCGAGGAACCTTTGCAGACTTTGTCCACTAAATGATACAGAAAACAAAGTAACATTGCTCTTAACAGCCATTACCTTCATTCTTCCACAGAGCCAGGATGTATTCCTTGGCAGTCATCGGTGTCAGGTATCCTCTCTTCCCTAACTGGCTTTGATCAAGAGCTGAAAAAAAATTAAAAAAAAAAAAAAAATCAAAAGGGGTTGCTTTGAAAGTTGGGGTTTTTTTTTGGTTTTGGGTTTGTTTTGTTGGAGTTTCTTTTTTTTTTTGCTTACAATAAGTGCTTCCAGCTCAGAGATGGAATGGAAATACATACAAAATATACCGGCTGACATCTACATTAAAATATCATTAACATGTTTGCTTTGGAAATAGAAAATTAACTAAAGAGTGAGCCTTCCCCATATGGAAAAATAAGCCATTTTTGTGACTAATGGATATCCATAAAAGTAACCGAAACAAAATTCAACTTCAACATCTAAAGTGTACACTGTATTTGATTAACGGTGAGCTGGACCCCTTCTTCAAATGATCTCATCCACTGACCAAAACACAAATCAAGAGTCCACCCACAGAAGTGGGATTCAAGCATTACCAGTGAGATCAAGGCTCCCAGGAATAGCCAACTGGATGAGACAATAGCACAGTCAGCAATCCATCTTTATCAGAAGTTAAGAGTCTGGGCTAGCTGTATTTTGGCAAGGAAGGAAAACACATGGTTTTGCTACTGAAAAGCAGATTTTTATTTTTTTTTTTTAAGGGGAAAAAAAAAAAGCCAGAGATTTTACAGAGATTTTAGGTCTCAATTTCCACTTCTCTTGTAGGCCAGCCCCTTGTGTCCCAAGGAAGCCACAGCACACAACTCAATGAAAAGCAATTCTCCCACGACTTCAGATAAAGTTTCCTACTCTTCTTTCAGCTCAGGTCCAGAAATCCATATTTTTCCACACTGAAACTTCAATTCCCCATGCCTTCACACAGAAAATCTTTCCACCCCTTAAACACGAAGGCATCAACGGCAAGGTTAAAAGTTCTCCCTCCAAGATTCAATACAAGGAGCAAAGGTGACCCAGGCTGTGCAGAATGTACGTAACTGTATAGTCCATCCCATTTCAGAAGATCTAACGCTTCACTGTAATGAAGTAATCAAGTGGTGTTACAGCCTTGGTCTCCGAGCACTGGCAGCAGGAAGGTATTTCTTACCTGCACTTCAGCTGTGAATGTTAACAGAGACTGCGAGAACACGGCTACTTTGGAAGCCTCCTGTGGTAAGGCAAGGCATTGTAAATCTGGCGACTCACCAGACCCTTCAGAACAACAGGTTTTTTTCACTAGCGCAATAAAACGTGCCCCCAGATTTCGGACGGTCCTCAAGGGGCTCAAATAAAAAGCCCAAAGTAGTACCCTACAATTTAATAGTGATATCATAGTTGTTGGAAGCTCAAAAGTAGTAACAGTGGGACACGCAAACTTTCCTGCCTTTGTTGAATGTGTTAAGGATCAGATGCTACACATGTTATGGATAGGATGTTAAAGTAGAAATCTGACCTTTCAGCCTTAAAACCCACCTCTGACATTGTGCTGCTTCAGCCACAACTCCAGAGATTTAATCTAGTATTTAAACCACAGACTAGCAAAGAGAATAAGCTCTCTATGTAAATCTTCTCTAAGGGTTAAAAACTCGCACACAAATCTGCTTCAATTCTACCTGGCTGTGTAAAGGATCAAGGATATAACAAGAGGAAAAAAGTAAGCTTAAAGTGATTCAAACACTGGGTTAATTAAGCCTGGAAAGTGTCACCTACTTTCTCTCTTTTCCTCTTTCACAGGGAATTCTTCCGTAAGAGTTCGGATTACCTGCTTTGCTTTCTGAAGTCAGGTTGGTCATCTTCCTCCTGGTTAATTTTTTACCTAGTCTTTCTATTTTAAAAATCTAGCAGAAAATCATCTACCCACCAAAAATGAAGTGTCCCAAAACCACATTACTGTTGACATAGATTATGCTTTTGTACTTCTCCTGACACACAGGCACTCAGTGCAAAAGCACAGAAGGCTCACAAACAGAGCAGGGTAATGAAGTCGGGTACTCCCCTACTGCTGGGTTTGGTGTTTCACTCAAATTTTTATAAATGAGTCACAAGTGCACAGTCACTGCTAGGATTCTGTGCACCTTAAGCACAGGAAAATACGTGCAAACATATTTGAGCAGAAGACAAGTATTTTACCTGCTGGCTCATCCAGGACGCCTTCTTCTCTTGACTTCTGGTACACTGTAGAAGGATACGTTACTGTCAGCTTGCTGTTATGCTCTTTTCGCACTAGTGATCTCCTAGATCTTAAAACAAAAAAAGAAAACCAGGAAAGGCAGATAAAAGTTAATACAACTGCTCCTGATATTTAACTTTACACCAGCTATTTACTTCCTTATGTAGACAAACTTACTTGCAGTTTGGGCATTTCTTTGAACTCGTATGTGCTTTCCAGAACTGTGCTATCAGTTTATTTCTACACTCACACACATTTTTGACCTGATAAAGAAAAAAAAGAAAAAGAAACTTAAAATAATGAAAATAATAAAAATAAATTAAAACATTTGCTATGAAGAATTCATTAAATGTTACACAATTCACGTTAACTATCACGTTAACTAATAATCACAAACTGATTTAATTCGTGCCTTGATCTCTAGTGTTCTTCCATCATCTTCCCATACTTGCTGGAAGCACACACCCCTCAATGCCCACCATCCTCCTCTTTAAATTTATTTCATAAACGGGCTTTATTTTTCAAGTCAATACTGAATTTTAAAGCTTTACTCTAATGATGATTTAGAAGGTAGAAGATTGATAAAAATCACTTCTTTTACTGCTCATGAATATATGATTTATAAAGTGTCTAAGGTTAGTTTTGAAACAAGTGATAAATGAATTAAACTTGCTTATAAACAAATTGTTCTAAGTTGTTGGACCTTTAAATACCTTCTTCATTAATATTTTCCTTTAACCAACAACATACATTAAACCGCATTTAAATGGAAATGAGAATTCAATTACATAATCCTTTCTAAAAACTTCACTGTAAGTAATTCTGCAGATTTGCTGGATGCAGGAGTTTTCAGAAAATGTTCTGCAGCTCAAAACAGCTGGTGCATCATATAGAGAACTATCAACATCTGCAGGTAACACACTGACAGCAAAATCA